TGCGGAACGACTCGAATAAATTAATCAAACTGCCAGGCTAACATGGATACAACGCATGCCACTTAAACGCTTCGGCTGTCAGCGAACAGAAAGCGAATACGCCAAACAGCGGTGACAGATCCCTAGCTGGGTTACTGCCGCATCCAACAAACATCCGCCAATTTCTTGGTCAATTTTTGCTCCGTTGAATTTTTCGTACGATTAATGTGTAATATCACCTAAATTGGAAACGAAGAAAAACTATACCCAGTTTTTCCTAAAAAGTAATGCCAGCTTTTCTGCTACAATTTGATACAAGCAGCCGTTAACAGATCGAAAAACAAAAACGATAAAAAACGCAATACATTAGAAAAGCTAGAAGTAGAGTGGATTGGACTTTTTACTGGAATGGCTTTCTTACTTGCTCCCCATTATAAATGGTGGGAGGATGAGGACGAAAATAATACTAGTGTATCATCCAGTAAAGGAGCATGGCGATTTAGAGGTTTGAAACCATGAATATCATTTTCTTTCATAGTAAACGTTCAGAACTAAGCCTTGAATTGGGTTAGAACCCCGGGTGCGTGAGCAATTTTGCCTCAATGGTCCTGCCGCGATGGCTAGAGCACAGACGATTAGAGAATGCCCTAGGACTAAGCCTTGGAGAGGGACCCGCTAGAGAGCGCAGAGGAGGTAAAGGGCTGAGTTCAAGTAGTCCGTCAACCTTCATTTTGCCTGGGTGGGTTCCTTCCTCCGAATCCTAAGCCTAGTCCTAGCGGCTCACTAAGTGACTATTACTTTTCCTAGAGCTTTATGTAATTCAGCATAAAAACGCGTACAATATAAAAAAGCTGGAGAAATGACGCAAGAATAAAGCCGATAGCAGTTCGTACCTCTTAAGGACTCCTCCAACCAAACTGGCAATAGAGCTGGATACCGCAATGCCCCCTCTTACTGGATAAGGATAAGGAAAGGATAAAGCATTTGCCGTTGATCAATCCCTTTTTGGGATGCGGCACGCATTCTACTTCCATTTGTACATTCGTAGTGGCGTTTGAATGCGATGTGGCCTATACAATGACTTGCGGGGGCCAGCCGATGTACAAGTCAGTGTTTTTATCCTCCCAGACAAGTCTGGTACCAATTAACCGACCCCGGAGGGATGGAAGGCTTGGTTGGCCCGGGCGACTCACGACCCAGGATTTGATCCCCGGACCGCTCGCGTGGTAAGCGCGCCACTTGCCACTACACCACTTCCCCCTTACTGGTAGACCCTAATATCATACAGTGATTCTTCTCATGCACTAACGTGGAACATGAATTGTCGATAATGTTAATCTCAAGCAATTCTGCGCCACGGCAAAACCCTGCGAAAACAATTTCATTGTTGCTCGAGTACGATACCAGTTTTTGCGTTTTTGCCAACGACATTTAAATAACACCCAAACTC